AAACAGTCGCACGAAACTGGCTAACATAAGATTATGGAAAGATACGTAACTTTAGGCTTGACACAACTATATAGCAGTATGTGATTATAATACAACTGTTGTCGCCGTAGTTTAACGTCATTGCGGACGATTAGGAGGGAAAAAATGTTGGGACGTGACAAATGACGTTAACCTACGACGACAACCGTCGTCCGCAATGACGTTACACTACGACGAGAATCATCATACTATAATCACATACCCTATATTGTAATTACATATATTATAACCACATACAACTATGTTGTAATCACATACTTTATATTATAATCGCATGCACTATATTATGTTCACATACTGTTATATAATTGTACCAAGTTAGTAACGACACTTTAAGTTGCGTATTACAAATGTTATTCTTAAAATTACGTATTTTACATACTCTTATGTTAACCAGGTTTGTGCAACTGTTTTTCACGTATGTACAAGCTCACAGTCCTCTACACGTAGTATTAAGCTGTTTTTCACCGCGCCAAGCTTTGATTAGTCAGTTTTCTAGGAACTCGCAATCTGATTGGTCAGTCGTTTTGTCGTGGATTCCGACTCGTCGGGTCCTTGTAAGTCATCTCCCATAGTTTTTTTCCTAAAAATCAGCCGGAAATCGGTTAAAAACTCGTAAAATCGTTTGATTGGTCGAAAGTTTTCTGTCAGTTTTAAGTCTCCGGACTCTCACAAGTCACGTCCACTGTTTCTTTCTTCAAAATTCGCCCAGTAAGTCGGTCAAAATTAGTGAAAACGTCTGATTGGCTGATTGCTTGGTGACAAACAACCTGATTGGCTAGAGTGCAAAAACTTGTCGTACGGGTTGACAAGGCACGCAGCAATTACGCCGAGTTAGCCTTCTCTTGAAATTCATGTTTTAAACCACTGAAAAAAGTAAAAGAAATCTCGTTGGTTAACCTGTTCGGTAAAACGCGTTTTGATTGGTCAATAGTTTTGTTGCGTTTTCTAACTCTTTGAAACCTTGCGATTACCGTCACAAAAGTTTCTTCCTGAAGTCTCTTTGGGAACCCGTTTAAAAACGACAAAAACGATTTGATTGGTCGAGAGAAAATTCCTTCGAAACACTACCTTAAGTGCTGACCGTAGTCTAGAAGTGTAAGGTAGGTGTGCGTACAGTGAAATAAGCCGTAAGACGCAAAGTTAATAGGTAACTCATGCCGGTAACCGGTTATACTATTAGTTACCGTTTTTTTCAAGTACCAAAGTCGGTACTATTACCAGTACCATTGTTTTATCATGCTCAAACATTTACCACGGTCGGTAAGTAAACACTTGCTAAAAATCGTATTTCCGAGCAAGTTATCGACTCGCACGGATTACCATCGTGTTCCTATTACCGGTAGCCACGTTTCAATTAGCTTAATTCCGAACCACATATTATTACGTAAGTTGCAAAATTAATATAACAAAAACCATAAGTGATAGGAAAAAACGGTTTTTACCGTTGGAATCAGCGTAAAAAACTGATAAATACCAGTGTGGTTGCAAGTCCCTAGAATTTGTTATTAACAATCAATTGTTTAAATAATTAAAATTATTAACTTTTAAAAATGTGGTATTTTGCAACTAAGTAATAGAAACAAGAATCTGAAAACCATTTTTTTCTAACTATCACCGTTTCCGAAATAATCAAATTGTTTACTTCCACTATGTCGCATAGGTCTTGGTGCACTTATGGCTCTTGGACCCTGAGGGTTAGTCCATACGCCACTCGCTCACTATGTCGCATAAAATTCTCGAACCCAAAGTGAAGGTACCTACGTGGTCCGCTTCCAAATTTCTCTTCTGGTTCTCGAAATATCCACAATTGTTAAAAACCGTTATATCTCATAAGTCATAGAATATTAACATACGTACTATATCTATATATGTGACTTTTAGTCTTCACAGAAACTAAGGCCTGGTTTATGCGAGCAATAACTGTTAACTTATGCCGGAACCGGTAAAGTTTAACTATATGATTTTAATACTTTTGTTTATACAAAATTGCCGAATGCGTATAAACAGAAGTATTGTAATCCTATAGTTAAACTCTACCGGTTCCGGCATAAGTTAACAGTTATTGCTCGCATAAACCAGGCCTAAGTTTTTCGGCTACTTCTTAAGTTTGTGTTTAACCGTAGAAAGTATATCTATATATACTAGAATGTGTCCCAAGGGGGGACCCTTTGCGTTTTTCTCGTACAAGTATATATCTATATATATGCGTTTAACATAGTAAGCTGCGCATATAGTCAGTAAGNCATTCGTATGCGTTCCAGAAGCATTGTAACTATAGCATAGACCTAACTATAGCGAGCCGAAAGTCATTGTAAAGTGCATACGCACTCGTAATAGTTCTCACGGCATTCCGGCGCCCTTCAAGGTCAAGCCGTGCGTTCTTTTATTCCGACAAAGGCGAGGCGAAAATCTTTGTACTCCACCGAAGCGAAAGTTCTTAGTAATCGCGTCCTTTGGTTCGAGCCGGATAGAGGCGCCGCGACGGCGCTGACCGGGTTATCTTATCTGAAGCCAAAACATAAACCCTTTGTGCTCTGCCGAGGCGAGAGCACCGTCAGTATCTTATCCGCGCAACATTCCTAAGTCGTAAGCGCGTGAGAAAAGTTTTATTTCCACTGCAACGGGACTTCCCCGTTGCAGCTATATTCTTATTGGCCAGCGATAGCTACCACTCTTACTCGGGGGACCAGAATCCTTGCTGTACACGTTTTCTATTCGTTGACACCGTCTTCCATTAAGATCCACGGGGCTGCGTCCCCACCAAGCGAGTCGGGTATAAAAGAAGGATCCCGGAGTACGGAGCGTCATTCAGTTCGTTCTGCCATTTAATTCAGTTCTATTCAATTCAAGTCATTCATTCGATTCAATTCACTATTCTTCGTTCAAGTCACTTCTCCTCTCAGTCTGATTTAAAGTCTTAACCGGTAAAGCGCTTGAGTAAGAAAGCGCCCTGGACACAAAACTCGTGTGTAGAAATATAAAATCATTCTAATTTCGGTAACCATCCCGATATACAGTCTCAATCTGATTCAAAGTCTTAACTGGTGAAGCGCTTGAGTAAGGAAGCGCTCTGAATACAAGACTCGCGTGTAGAGTCGTAAAATAGTAGAATCACAGAGTCATAGACATTGTAATTTACTAATTTCTCAACTAAGTCTTAACTGGTGAAGCGCTCGAGTAAGGAAGCGCCCTAGATGCAAGACTCGCGTGTAGAGTCATAGAATAAGAGAATCACAGAAGCGTAGAAGTAAACGAAGTATCGTACATCAATATGCACTTAATTCATAAACCACATTTGTAGGATCTTAGAAACTTACGTTACTAATAATAATTATAACAATTCGTTTCCGAATAACCTTAAAATAGAAGCGGTAGAAATAAGCACATAAGTAAGAGATTTCTGTTTTTAATATTTGTTTCAATAAGTTTAATAAGTTCAGGCCAGTCCGTTCTCCAAGGCAGGAGCGCTTGAGTAAGGAAGCGACCTGCCGTTCCTGTCAAAACCTGAAATCCTAAAAACTTAACCAGTTGGAGCGCTTGAGTAAGGAAGCGAACCGCTGTATCCTGTCAACGTAAGTTTATCCAGTAAATGGAATTTTAACAATTCTAATTATAACCTATGTCCTATGTCTATCCATAAATGCCACGTTCTAATAAACGCGGCGTAAGAGCCGGTAGGAAAGTACAATTGAGGAATTTGAATTAATCTTTGGATAACGGGCTTCTCGAACCGATTGCAAGGTGTTATGCATTAAAAATCAAAAATTTTTTTGTTCCAAACGTTTCGACTTTATTTCAAGTTATCTTCAGTGGTTAATCTGGTATATACAATATTAATTACAAAGTGTTTATCTGGTATGTATAATATTATTACAATGTGTGACATATAAAAAACCAAAAAGAATAAAAAACTTACAAAATATTACAACATTTAAATGACAATAATGTATGTCTGTGTGTTGACACAAATGTGTGTGTTGTTACTGCGGATTTATCGTCAGTACTGAGGGTAATTTTTCAGATTTTAAACTAGCTCCCTCTATGAGTTATCTATGTGTTTAATTTGTTCTAGATAAGGTAGATAAGTTTCATCTAACAACGCTGTGTCTTGCATAACATTTATAGTGTTGTTTTTTATCTTAATGTTAACCATTTTAGACGTCAACCGTTTAAAATAATTGGATTCTTTATCAAGGATTTTTACTGAGTTCCAATTGAAAGAATGTCTGGTCTTCATGCAATGTTCAAAAATTACTGACTTTTCATGATGACAACTTACTGAATATATGTGTTTTTTGATTCTCGTTTTGAGTTGTCTTTTTGTTTGGCCGATATATATAGCCTCACAATTGTTACAGTGAATGTTGTAAACCACATTCCTCGTTTTATCTTTAGGTATAGTATCCTTGTGTGTTTTAATAAATTTGTTGAGATTATTTATAGTTCTGTATGAGAGTCTTGTTTGTTTGTTATCAATTATTGGTATGTTAAAATTTTTATGTTTATTGATTGTTGTTGTGTATGGTAATACAAAGTAGTGTGTAGAAGATGAATCTTTACCACCACACTCGAGATGGTTTGGTTTGTTGAGTTTAGTGGTGAATAATTTTTTCAAACGTCTATTGATGTTGCAAAACACGAACTGCAGAGGATAGTTGTTGGCAATCAACGTATTTATGCAGAATTCCAGGTTCTTTTTGTGATGTATTGGATCTGCTAATAATATAGCTCTGTCTACCAATGTATTTACTGTGCCGATTTTGTGACATATAGGGTTTAATGACAAAAAGTTTAAGTATCTGCCTGAAAATGTTGGCTTGTGGTACCAATCACAAGTGACAACATTATTATTGATATTAACACACAAATCAAGAAAGCCAAGTCCAACACTCGTCTGCAACTTATGTGTAAATTGCAACCTAGGGTGAAATGAGTTGAAAATACCAACCACCTCGCTTACCCTGCTCCTTGGTAATGATAATATGATGTCATCGACATATCTGTAGTAGAAAGGTATGTGAAACTTAATGGCGTTGAGAGCTTGTAGCTCTATATCTTGTAATGCTAAATCTGCCATGATTGGTGACAAAGGTGATCCCATTGGTGCACCAAATATTTGTTTATATATGGTATTATTGAATTTAAAATANGTCGACGACATCACAAATCTCAACGCAACGATAAACTCTTGCTCGCTTATTTTTGTGTGCATTCTTATGTATCTCCATTTTTTGGATACACTTGTTAAAGCTAAATCAATGGGTATGTTTGTGAACAAAGATACTACATCNAACGAGCACAGTATATCGTCACTATCAACCTGAATACCGGACAAAATGTTATGCAAGTGGAAGCTATTATCAACGAAAAATGGAGAATTAGGTATACTTTTGTATAGAATTTTATGTAAGAAATGTGCAATATTGTGTAAAGAACTATCAATTGTGGANACTATCAATCTGAAAGGACAATTATCTTTATGAATTTTCGGCACTCCGTAAGCTCTGGGTAACAACGAGTCACTGGACATTAAAAATTTCTTTGTGTCGCTATTAATAAAACATTTGGAATGCCATCTTGTAAGTATATCCTTTAAATTGTTTTCTATATAGCGTGTGGGATCTTTATTTACAACTGAGTATGTGTTGGTGTCACTCAATGTGTCNTGCATTATTCTAATGTATTCCCTTCTGGAAATTGCTACAGTGGAATTGCCCTTGTCAGCACGAGTAAAAATATTGTCTGGATTGTCTTTTATAAAATTTGTTGTTGCTTTAACTTTGGTCATTAAATTTTTTTCTATATATGTTTGTGGGCTATTCTCATTAATGAAGTGATTGAAATAAGTTATAGTTTGATTTCTAAAATTAGTTTTTGTTAATGTGTTAAATTTCTTAATGTGAAGCTCTACATCTTTGATTGTCTCCAAAATTACCTCTTACCAATTGAGAAAACTTATTAAACAATATAAAACCGAAGGAAGTTCGCTTGAAGCAAACATCTCTGACTATATGTACCCCAGCGTCTCAGAACATCTAGAATCAGAAAATCAAGTCGTCAACAAAAATATAGAAAATAATCAATTAACTGTAGTATCAATAGAAACCGTCACGCATACTATAAGCATTTGGAAACGGTTAGAAACCATCACGATACCCAGAATATTTTTACAACCGTTGATTCCGAAAGAAGATCCACGATACGATACGTATAGCGAGAAATCGTGGTATTTGCCGCAAAAGTTACCCAAACAACCAATGTATTCGTGGAATATTCCAAAATCTGATCCGCATTATAATACTTATATTGCGAAACGTCGACAAACACTGTATCCGTTTGGTCCGTTGTAAACTTAGCGTGTAGTTACTTTTACTTATTTTTATTAAATGTGTAAACCTAAAAAACAGTCCGATACACGATTAGTTTATCTGTCTCCCGCCCTCAACCATCATCAGCGGTATCATCTCGGAAGATGTAAGCAGGGAACTGCCACGCTTCGCGTATTAACTAATAAGTTGTAGTGTAACAATTGTTTCGAGTCTACCTTACCGGTAGAACCCTTTGAAGTAATTTACTCACACGCGGTAGTAATTGGTAACAGAAGTTCTCCAGTTTCTTGCAAATAGTGTGGAATTAGGTTAAAAACAATACGACTTCTAGATTCTTGTTTGTCGTGTCCGGAAATGTACATGTATTTTCTAAATAGAGTTTCAAATGTAGGATTTTTATCGTTTACATGACCCAACAATTTATCATTACACAGGCCCCCTGTATTAATGTATCCTTTGAAGAGACGCGTAGGTTTGTGTAGAGTTCAGAGAGCCGAGATACGCGTTTTCACAGACGAACTGTATTGCGAGGATTGTGCCTATTTTGCCCATCATTCAGAACCGTTTGATTCAGCTTACGATCATTGACGCCTTGCCGAAAGTCGTCCTTGTGTCCGTTATTTTCTTTGCGCACGTTGTGATAACAATTTGTTCGAAATCCGTCAAGTAAGTTCGTGTAGTTTCTGTCAGAGACGGCACGGTTAAGTTATGGCCTGTAAATTCGGGGTGCGTTTAAAGTTCTCATTGATCAAATATTGTGCCAAGATTGCTCTGATTTGGTCAGACAGTACGAACCAGTCGAAATCTTTCAGTATCACACGGTCGTCACTCCTTATACAGTCGTTGGACATATCGCGTGTGCTAGGTGTAACAAAAATATCGTTGTAGTAAAATCTGTGTTTGAGTGTGGGTACTGCGACGGTGGAAAACTGTAAAATAATTCCCAGGAAACACTAAAATGCTCTCCGGCCGTAGAGCATCCCGAAACGAAGAAGTCAAAACTTCTGTTTCTCCTAGGACGTAACAATACCAGCCCATACGTTAACTTTTTGTGGATATTGGGTATGATTGGTTGTTTTCCAATGAGGATTAACGTCACTTCAATACCTACAATTATGTCTATTTATATTTCCAGTCAAATTGAATGTTGTCTCATCAGAGAAAACAATATTATTAAGTAATAGAGGATCGTNGACAATCATCTGCATCGTAAGATCACAAAATTCGATGCGTCTATCNAAATCGTCTTCGGACAATTCTTGGCACAAATGGAGTTGGTATGGATGCCATTTATTCAATTTCCAAATTTTACTGACAGATGCATGACCGATTTCGTGTTCTTGTGCAACGCGATTGATGGAAATATAAGGATTTTTACGAAAAGACTGTAAAACATTCAATGCCTTATCATTATTTGTTGCTGTTTTACGTTTATCAAATCTTGAGCGGCTTGTAACGTTACCAATGTCCTTGAAACGTTGAATAGTAGGGATTCCAGTACTTTTAGAGATTTTATTATTTTCATTTCGAAAATTTTCATTAAATGATCGCGTTACTGTTTTATATCCTCTTTGTTGATTTCTCCATCCTCGCATCATTAACAGTGTTATTCGATCTTTTTCAGAAAGCTCCGCCATTCTTAATTAGAGCAAAGAAGAAGTAATCAGGTAAGTGATAAAAAAGTGATTTAAATAATTAAGTAGAGAAAAATACTAATTATTAAGTGTTGGTCTAACTATTAAGTTGTTTATGTTAACCAGCACTAGCAAAAAGCTCGCTTAGCAACTGAAAATTTAATAGATCAAATAATAATATTTACGAAAAAATTCTGGGTTCAGTTTGGAAACAAAATGAAGATGTTTGAGACAATCAATTGAAGCGCAATGGCCATTTTTGGTACAGAAAAAATTTTTGGAGCTGTTTGTCTTTGTCCACGAAGTAACTGCTGCTCGCTAAGAAGAAGACAGCACTGCATCAAAGATTAAAATCAATGATCCGTATTGTTTGCTCAAGAGCTCGTACATTGATGCCTGCAAGAGTGAGAAAATTAAGATCGGCCCCGCCAAAGCTTTCGGGCAGATTCCCGCTAAAGAGCC